GCCATGCAAGCAAGGTTAGAAGAAATTTCGTAATCACTAACAGGCATTTGGCGACTTACTAATTAAACCTTAACTTTTTATCTATGTACATACATGTACGATCGTCATGATTTAGGCTCTTAATAATATATCAACTAATGAATATAATTGTTCCTCACACTTGGCAAATTAACTGGGAAGGTAATTCATATATTTAATTAACCATTTTTTTGCAATGACAATGAACATATCTTTTATGAGCAGTTATATGTGTATATCTCCTTTTCCTTTTATTTCTCAAGGATGCACATGTCTGTGTTGGGGAAAACATAATGTAAACGACATCAATCTATAACTACTAATAAAGGGATCAATGCTTCTGCCCATCCATCTTAAAATTACCCACTAAGCCATCCATAAGTGAAAACAATGATTCGCTTTACGAGCCATTGCCTTTGGTTTATATATATTGCAACCCCTAATGGATCAAAATCACACATCCAGCCCACTGGCCAGGGCCTTACTCCACTACCCAGGTTTCAACCCTAGCCCCGCCCCTTTCGAAAATTCTTATTATATATGTTTACTACCCCATTTAACTTGAGTAGGTATGATAGTTTGATGCTCCCCCAAAAGATATTATTGGTACTATAGTGGATGTTGATTCCTACCAGGTACCATATGCTAAAGGTTATGATAGGTACATAGTCATCCTATTTTCCACTGTGCACAATAATCAACCAATATATGATGAAATGTTGACTCCTACCGGCTACCATATGCTAAAGGTTATCATAGGCACATTGTCATCCTATTTTCCACCATGCACAATAATCAAACAATATACGATAATGTACATTAAGCTGTGTTGGGAATCGTAGCAGAAATTTAAATTTTTTTACGCATCACCAAGATCAATCTATGGAGTAATCTAGCAACGAGGGGAAGGAGAGTGCATCTACATACCCTTGTAGATCGCTAAGCGGAAGCATTCAAGTGAACGGGGTTGATGGAGTCGTACTCGTCGTGATCCAAATCACCGATGATCCTAGCGCTGAACGGACGGCACCTCCGTGTTCAACACACGTACGGAACGGAGACGTCTCCCACGCCTTGATCCAGCAAGGAGGAGGGAGAGGTTGAGGAAGAGAGTCCAACAGTAGCACGACGGCGTGGTGGTGATGGAGTGAGAGTTCTCTGGCAGGGCTTCGCCAAGCTCACGCGGAGGAGGAGAGGTATTGGAGGGGAGGGGCTGCGCCAGGTTCAAGGGTGTGGCCGCCCTCCCACCCCTCCACTATTTATAGGTGGGGAGAGAGGGGGGGCGGCCCCCCTAGATCCCATCTAGGGTTGGGGGCGGCGGCCAAGGGGGGAGGAGTGCCTCCCAAGTCAAGTGGAGGCCCTCCCCCTTAGGGTTTCCCCTCTCCCATGCGCATGGGCCTTGGGGGGCTGGTGCCCTTGGCCCATTAAGGTTAGGGCGCCCCTCTACAGCCCATGCTGCTGTATTGGATGCGGTGGAACATTTTCCGGACCTCCGGACCCCTCCGGAACCTTCCGAAAGCTTCCCGGTACAATACCAGAAAAAACTGAACTTTTCCCGGAACCCGAACAACAACTTTTCATATATAAATCTTTACCTCCGAACCATTCCGGAACTCCTCGTGACGTCCGAGATCTTATCCGGGACTCCGAAAAACATTCGGTAATCACATACAAGTCTTCCTAATAACCCTAGCGTCATCGAACCTTAAGTGTGTAGACCCTACGGGTTCGGGAACCATGCAGACATGACCGAGACAACTCTCCGGCCAATAACCAACTGCGGGATCTGGATACCCATGTTGGCTCCCACATGTTCCACGATGATCTCATCGGATGAACCACGATGTCGAGGATTCAATCAATCATGTATTCAATTCCCTTTGTCCAGCGGTATTGTACTTGCCCGAGATTCGATCGTCGGTATCCCGATACCTTGTTCAATCTCATTACCGGCAAGTCTCTTTACTCGGAAAACAACAAATTTCTCATCGCGAGAGTGAGAGAAAGCGAGAGAGAGAGAGAGAGAGAGGAAGAGAGAGAGGGAGAGGGAGGAGAGAGGGAGAGAGAGACGCCTTAGGATTAACCATATTCAACACACGTTTTTTGTTGTTTTGTGTGAACACCGAGGCCATCACCGGCGAGGGTGAGAAGGAGGATATGCGGCAACACAAATATGATGCCTCACAAAAATAAAGAAGATGGACCTATTATGGTCTTGAGTGATGGTTGTTGAGTTAAGAGCGTGTGTTATGTTTTCTCTCCTGTTGCAACGCACGGACTCTTTTGCTAGTCTATCCCTAATAATAAAGCACGGATTGACTCCGTGGGTTCACCGTCACAATACGCTTCTTCCCGTGATTTTACACTTTTCGTTTGAATTTAAAACATATTCGTGAGGTGGTACTAATATTTTTATTTGTGTACTTAAGGCGTTTTTTCGTTCAGCGTATTGGGCTGTCAGCAGCAGTACGCGGCCCACTCTGTCGAAAAAAGATTCATTTTTTGTCTTAGCGGTAGTGGGCTGCCCAGCAGCAGTGTGTGCGTGCGTTGACTCACGTGGACGAAGCCGCATATTCTTCCTTCAATTAATAATCCCACATTGTCTCTTTACATCTAGGACTTTTATAACTACCAAACGTTCGGATTTTAGCAATAGGCAAGAACGATCCTTACTTCATTCTAATTATATACATGCATGTATTAGAATGACTAATTTTCCTTTCACGTACATTCCTCCCTCCAATTACATGCATATATGCACTAAAGGACGAAAGGCTGATGTCATCCTAGATTCTTTTTTTTCAAACTTCAAAATGTTTTGTAGCTCAAACCGTCGCCCTGATTGAAAAACCGTCTTCACAAAAAAAATCATCTGGACGAGATCTTCGAAACTATATCCCATGTTGATATGTTCTGAAGACTTTTTTTTGGACCAAAAGTTACCACATCCGGGCTACGTGAGTTATCATATCAGTTATACATAAGTTACTATGTCATTTATACAAAAGTTTCGGAGGTATGTTTTCAACAGACTTTTATCCCAGGGGTCAGAAAGTGATTATGATGTTTGCAGTGAGTTATCAACTTTGTTATGTATATTAGCATGTTGCACAAAAGTTATCGGGGTATCTTTTTCAATAATTTTCATTCTCTCGGTCAAAAAATTATCGCGATATTTGTATATGAGTTATCAGCTCTCATGTGTGTGTATTATCATGTTGTTTACACATGAGTTATTGGGATGCATTTTTAACAACATTTTTCCATGTTACCAGCTCATGTTATTTACACGAGAAGTTAACATTGGTTAAAAAACACTGGTATGTTTTCAACAAAAAATTTCACGTCAAAGTTATCGTGGTGTTTTATCTAAGTTATCAGGACCGGGAGCCTATATTATCATGTTATTTACACAAAAAAATATCAAAGTATGTTTTCAATAACCTTTTTTCATGGGTCAAAGTTATCGTGGTATTTGTACCTAAGTTACCAGGTACGAAAGCCTATATTACCATGTTATTGACACATATGTTACCGGAGTATGTTTTCTAAAACTTTTTTCTACGGGTCAAAGTTATCGTGGTGTTTATACCTAAGTTATCAAGTCCGACAATGTATATTATCAGGCTATTTACAAAAGAAGTTATCGGTTGTATGTTTTCAACAAAAAAAATTCATGGGCCAAAGTTATCGTGATGTTTGTACCCAACTTATCAGGACCGGGAGCCTATATTATCATGCTATTTACACGAAAAAAAGTTATCAGAGTATGTTCTCAACAACTTTTTTTCGCGGGTCAAAATTATCGTGGTGTTTGTACATAAGTTATCAGGTCTGGGAGCCTATATTACCATGTTATTTACATAGATGTTACCGGAGTATGTTTTCAACAACTTTTTTCCATGGGTAAAAGTTCTAGTGGTGTTTATTCCTAAGTTATCAAGTCCGGGAGTGTATATTATTATGCTATTTACAAAGAAGTTATCGGTTGTATGTTTTCAACAACTTTTATCCACGGGGAAAAATTATCATGGTCTCTGTACCTAAGTTATCAAGTACAGGAGCCCGATGACATGCATTCGTTGCGTGCTCCTGACCTTAAAATGGAGAGAAACATGCTACCATAATGGGAGCAAGGATTGTGTGCTTTCATTTCAATCCTCTTAATTTTCCAACCCATTATTTATTTTCCTTGGACATGGTAGAAATGGGAACAAGACAACGAGACCTACTACCATAATGGAGAGAGAAAATAGCGATTTTAATACTATATATGGAAAACTGCCTACTATAACCAACATGCTATTTAAAAGCATGAAATTAGTTGGTAAAACAACAAAAGTAATTTAAGTGAGCTGGTTAATGGGGCATAGGTTAGTTATGAGATACTCAGGTCCGAGTCCAAAGGCACCCCACACACACATCAAATTTATTTTCTATTTTCTGGTGTAGATGCAAAGGAGAAGTTATACGATAAAAGAATATGTAACATGCCATTTGGCACATGAAAGAGTTAGCTGGGCTGGTTACCGGTAGGAGAATGCACGCAGCAGGTGCAAGGATCGATTCTCACTGCTGCCCATTTTTTTGCGAAAAATGAAAAGCGGGTGGAAGGCGGAGCGCTGGAGCCGATCGACTCGTTCGGATCTATCGACAAGGTGAGAACGTTCGCTCGTTACTTTTGTCGTTACATCTAAGATCATCGGTTTATATATGTATACCCTGGTGATTCACCAAGCGACCATGAAAATTAACAAGCAGAGGTGCTGGCGATGATTTATAGATGCCCTTCTTACCGAAGAAGAGAAGGAAGGAATTATCTTTGAAGGAAAAGAAAAAAAAGGAAGGAATTATCTCCAAAGGAAAGGAAAAACAGGGAGATGCAAGAGAAGGGAAAAAAGGAGCGAGAATCAGACTCGGCCAAAACTCGCAAGGGAATGGAAAGAGAATTAACTAGCAGGGGTACCCTGAAACACAGCCGGCTATACAGACGACGTTGAAGGCCCAAGCTGCATGCGTCGAGGAGGACCCACGCGCACCGGTGGAGGTTGGTGCTCGAGGGCGTCGCCGACGATGCCCAGGCCGATGCGGCGGTTACGAGGGCTCAAAGCTCGGGCGATCTTTGAGCGCGGAGGCGAGGCGGTCGGCCGCGAGCTCGACCTGCCGGACGACGTCGGAGTCGGAGATGTTGGCGAGTATGTATTATGGCGCCAGATGGCTCACCGGCTCCTCCGCTGATGGGTTCCACGCAGGCATGGAGGCGGGGCTGGGGCTTCCCTAGCAGGTCGGACTGCTGGAGCAGGGACATGCGTCGCCTCCCTCCGCTTTTGCAGATCAACAGAAATAAGAGGGCCATCGTCGCAGTCGTTGGCTGTTGTCAAGAGTCTCTGGCTTTTTGAGCAGAACATTGCTGTCATGGCCGGACTCCTACTAGCTGTTGTGGGAGGCTGGTTGTTGCTTCTCCACAGGGAAATTAACAAGCAGATGTGGATGGGAGACATCAGGATGCCAGAGAAGCAAGGCGTACACGACTACACGTGATGGTGTGTGTACGTGGCGCCGCTCGATCGTGTTAGGGGTAGTACGTGGCGCCGCTCAACCTCTGATTTATCAATGAATGATCGGTGTGTGTTTACTGACTGACCGAGGCTTTTTACTCAGAAGAAACATAAGGCAGTTTTTTTTTCACTAACAACATAAGGAATTTTTTATTAACAAATGGGAACAGGAAGATGTGTGCGTATCTGTTTTAGACAATGAGCCTATCTGCTGTGTATGTGAAATGTTTATGTTTGGGTCAAGTCCAAATAGTACAAAAAAAAGAATATAAATTTATAAACCGAACAACCAACATTCTCCAATAAAATCAACAATGTAAAACCCCACTTTCGTTCGAATATAATAAAATTTATAGAAACAATTTCACTTCGATCTACAACTACTCTTTCATTCGATGATAGTGCGAAGCTGAATGAGACTTCGTTGAAGGACATGAATGCATGCAAAGGTTTAAGTGAAACTTTTTTCAAAACACAATATAGATGTCGAGCACACAAACACGTACATACACTCTGCCCTATGTACGTAGACACATATCATACCCCTATAAGCACCGAGAGACTGCACCGACGGGTTTTGAAATTGATGAAGTCATCACAAGCGCCTCACTATCGACGAGAACGTCGTTTTCAACTGAAAATATTGTTCCTTAATGAGACATCAAAGTGTCAGACGTCGAGTTTAATCTCTGGTTGCATTGGGGTACCACTGCCCTATTAACCATCCAATCAAATGTTGGTTGTCATGATTAAGGCGAAACTGATCGATTCAAGTAACCTTCCCTATTTATTCGGTAGCCATGCATCCATGCCCTGTAGTAATGGACACTAAAGGATGATTTGCGTTTCTTCTATTCCTCAGCATGCGCTTTCCTACCCCATCGCACTGCACTGATGGATGTTTTGGCAGACATCTCAATTTTCTCTTCTGTTGCAACGCACGGGCATATGTGCTTCCCTAGGGAATTGTCTTTTTTATCTCAGGTAAATAGTTCATTTCTCACATGGTTTTTCAGATTGAGATCAAGATAGGGAGGGAGGGAGCTTTGGTTAGGTCGAGGTTGGAGGATCTACACGCTCATTGTGGCTGCAATTTGTACATGACAATACATAAATTGGAATTGAGATTTGAAGCCATTTTGTTGGTTTTGCTTTGTACTGATGCTGCCATTATTTGTGTGATGATGTCATTATTGTACAAAGGGAAGGGACAGTGAGAGAGATGGATAGAAATTTCTATTTTTGTTGTAATTATTTGTTGTCGAAGCTTCTTATTTATTGGTTGTTGTCGGTTGTTGTGATGGAAAGTTAACAATACTTTTGATTATTTGAAGGCAATGTCAGATTTAATAATTTGAACTAGACTGAAGTAAAACATGTTGATGTAGACGAGTCTGAACACGATTAACATGATCGTGTATTTTTAGTGACTAAAACAGGTTGGTGAGGTATTTTTACTCCCGTTGCAACGCACGGACATTTGTGCTAGTAATAATAAAGTACGGATTGACTCCGTGGGTTCACCGTCACAATACGTTCTTTTCTCATGCCATAATACGCTTTTATGATTTGTATAAACAAAATTATAATATAAACGACCGTGAAAAACGTTTCGTTCTTGGGCTGGACCTGACGTTTTCATAAGCAGCCCAGACTCACCCGTCGTTGGAATTTTTGCCCCGCACGAGAACGCGAGGGTTTCCTCCGCCGCTGCCGCTGCCGCGGCCCCATATCCCTCCACTCCACGGCGCCCGTCCTCGCTCCGCAGTCGCCAAATCCGGACGAGATCGGTAGGATCCACTATCGGGCGAGGTTTCTCTCTCTGTAAGTCGCTGCCGCGACCCATGGAAACTCCGACGAACGGAGTGCATACCGGCAGCCTGCGGGCCGGCGGATCAGCGCCGGCCGCCTCCACCGTCACCTCCTCCTCCATGACCTACGCAGCCGGACGCCCGAGGTGATCGCATGCTATGAGTGCGTGTTGGTGTGTGCTTAGCCTGCCGGTGCGTGCGTACCGGCTCGCGTGCGTGTGCCTGTGTGCTGATTTAAAGTATGGCTTGCTAGCCAGAACATCTTCGTGACACTGATTGTTTTGCCGCTGCTTAGGACTTCCCTATACAGTAGATAGAAGATGATTTGTGTGTTCTAAATTCTTGCAAATTGAACTGACTATTTGTTATCTCTCCTCTCTAGATCAGAGAAGATGTTATTATTTTTTCAGAAAAAGGAAATTAGTATTTGAACGTCATCCTACAACATGAGTACTAGATTTTGTATGAACAGATAATAAATAACCTGGAAGTAGCACGCTCCCTTGCTGTTGTAATTCTCAGCGTGTACTTTTGCTACTGTACTATTGCTTCACAATCTGGTCTGGATTTATGATAGGTAGTAACTATGTGATTTGTATTTATGTGTTGTTAGTTTGATCCAACTGGAACTTCTTACTGTTCAAGAATGATGCTTCGTGATGTAAAGATGTTCTGTTTAAGTGGGAGCCGTGAAGGGCCTAATCTGTGCAATCTTAAGTTTCAGAAATATGGTAGTAGTCCATATAGAGTACAAGAGCTGACCAATGTTGTGGTGTGGAGCAGACTGACAATGAAAATACCCAGGCTCATGCTTTTATTCTCTGTCCAGTAGATGAAATTATCACATGATGGTGTATGCAGAGGAGTGGAAGGTGTATGGAGTTTCAATTAGATTGGGTGGCCACCGGCGTCCATGAGACTCCAGAGTGACATGGCAGACTGTTAGCACATCTGCTCACATCATTGACATTCGTGATGAGTCACCCATAGGCCCACTCAGCAGGCAAGTAACTCCATATCCTTCAATTCCAAGCCTCAGATGATTTGCATTAATATATTATCTCTAATACCCTGGCCCAAACATTGATGGTACATGCAAAATTTATAAAGCTAGATTTGTTGTGAGTGCATAGCATATTGAAATAAATTTGGATGAACTAACTTGAGTTCTTCCATCAAGTTTTATTATATCAAATCTTCAATACAAAAATTACAACAAAAATGACATGTAAATATTGACAAGCCTGTTGTTGTGTGCCTGCAACACTTCTGTCACTGATTATGATGATGAATTCTTCGCTTAAATGGAAGTTTTTCAGTGTGAACTTTTGATGAACTATCTTCATGATGATGATGCTAGATGTTATATGATTTGTTATGTTAATGAAAATCTTTTATACCTAACTGACTACCCATTATGTTATACTCCCTCCATTCCTTTATATAAGGTGTATTTGTTTTTTCAAAAGTCAAACGAGTGCATGTTTGACCAAGCTTTTAGAAAAACATATACTTATTCACAATATGAAATTTATATCATTTGACCCATCATGAAAAGTAGTTTCATGTTTTATCTATTAGGTATAGCATATGTTATTATTTTATTCTATAATCTTGGTCAAACATTTAAATGGTTGACTTCCACGGAAATCAGTACACCTTATATTCTGGAACGGACTATGATTTATTTATTTTCTCCAGTTGCAATGCACGGGCTATTACCAATAATTTTCATTATCAAATGCAGTGTTAGTGAAAGGGTGTTCCTTTATCACGATTAAAGGTTGCATGTCTTCTGATAAGTGCCTCGATATCTTTTCGGTCTCTACTTGAATGTCGCGTACTTAATTTTTTAGTGCCCAACAATCTTTGCACTGATTCTTGCAAGGGGTCCTCGAGGAAGCAAAGTAAATGACTATTCTCAGTGGAGACGACACCATAGATGTTGTTTTGAAGTAAGCTCCTGCTCACCATTCTTTTGTAGTTCCTTCAGAAGAAATGATTCCATTCTTTTACTCGAGACTGAAGAGTTGTTTTTGCCCATCCATCTTAGTTTAATACAAAGTAGATGCCAGGACAGAAATATATACTTGAAACCCAATGAGGTCAATGATGTGCGAGATTCTGTGTTCGGAGGATGGCTCAAAGATCAATTACATCAAACTAAGAAGGTTTAACCAAAATGATGCAAGTTTGAATTGCCTCTCGCTTAAACTTTCTTAATTATGCATTTATCATTTTTGAGATGTTAAGCTCTGATGATCACACTACTTGATTATCCGATTCCAGGATCCGTCGAGGAAGCCATTAAGAAATTAAGGGAGAACAATATAAAGGCCTTTGTGTTCGATCTGCATGTTAACAGATTTTTACCTGTAGAATTCATGGTGGATTTTCACCTAATGTTGTTGAAAAATCTAAATCTTTACATGGTTGTTTTGATGCAGTGGTCGGCTTTTTCCTGAAGGGATTGAGATTACCAAGATTCGGATCAGATCCCTGCTTTGTCAGTGCAGGAGAACTGCTCAAGCACATAGGCATGGCGTGCCTGACGTGGATTACACCCGAACTGCCCTCCTTTGACATAAAAGGTACCCGATTCCCTCGACAAAAATCCTGACTAAATCGCAAGTCTCCCTGCTTGAAAGTTGATGCATCTGAAGTTTTCAATCTCGCCGACTTCACTGGAGTGTCGTGCGCCCATGCTCCAGTAGAGGTACGAATTTGCAATATTGTTTTTAGGTGCTTCTACATGAATCCAGCATTAGTACCAATTTAGCCACCACACTTTACCTACTGTAGCAGCCTTCAAAGCACCACTGTATGTGGGCTGTCCCAATGTCATTTCATTGGCTGAGTTGATCTCACAGGCTAACATCAATGTAGATTGCACATTTATCAGTTGGATTATATCATAGACTGAAGTCCAGACCATTATAATGTATGTTGCTTCTTTGAAAGTTAGACTTCATAAAGAAGTAATTTCATCCGACCACAGTAGCTCTGAAAAAATGCATAACGGATTTGTGGGTTCACCTTCCTGGATGG